GAAGGAAGGAAGGAAGGAAGGAAGGAAGGAAGGAAGGAAGGAAGGAAGGAAGGGAAGAAAATAAAGAAAAAAGAAGAAAAAGAACAAAAAGCCCAGCAACCGCATGCATGTAAGGGTCAGCTTCACTTGTCAGCCTGGCGCAGCCTGGAGCCACCCGGGAAGTCTATGCAAGGCTGATGTGTGGGAAGACCCAGCCCACTGTGGGCAGCACCGTTCCTTATGCAGTAAATCCTGAACCGTGTGGGAGTGGAGTAAAGCTGAGCACGAGGATGCAAGCACAGACATGTTTGTTTCTCTCTGTTCCTGACTGTGACACATCTATACGGACTTCCCCACCTTGATGCCTTGACTGTCCCATGGTGACAGGCTGTAGCCGGGAACTGGGAACTAAACTCAAACACTTCTCCTCCACGTTGCTCCTCATCAGGATATTTTATCTCATCTAGAACACCCTGTGATATATGTGATATGAAGTTTTTTTTTTTTAATATGAGATTCTGATTGCTAATCAATAACAGAACTGAATCATTGGGCCTGAAGAGAGAGATGGCTCAGCGTTAGAGTACTTGATGCTCATACAGAAGACCTAGGTTCAGTTCAGGTTCCAGCTCCTACATGACAGCTCATAACCTCCTGTAACTCCAGCTCCAGGGGATGCTGTGCCCTCTTCTAGCCTCCTCAGGCATTGCACTCATGTGGAGCACATACATTTGTGTGGCAGAACACACATACGCCTAAAACAAAAATAAATAATTTTTTTTTAAGAAAGAAAGGGCAACACAAGGATGAGCATCATCAAAGTGCATCGCATGTGTATGTGAAACTCTCATAAGTCAAACTTTTCATAAGTCAAACAGCTGAGTTAATTGCCCTAAAATTTAAAACTTTGGTTTAAGTCCTTTCCCCCAACCTCCCCCACAAAAAAAGAAAGATTCACTTGGAATAGAGAATCAGAATAACCACTTATCAAACTTATTCAGTTCTCAGAACTTGCTTATAAGTGTTATTTCTGTCTCTCTTGCAGAGGAATGAGGGAGGCTTATCAAAATTCAAGTCAACTAGAACTTGCTGATACTAGAATTCGAAACCAGGTCTGTCTGGCCCAGCACACATTCAACAACTCACGCTCTTATCACTCATGTACAAGTCAACAGCATCCCAAAGATATAAACAGCTTTTTAAAATTATTACCCTAGAGTAGCTCAAAATCGGAAATAAGACATCCAGCAAAATGTAGCAAAATATATAAGCAAGCCATTCACAAAGAGGGAAAATACAGCCAGTGGAAATACATGATAAATGTTTATCCTCACCAGTATTCCGAGGAAGGCCAACTAAGACGAGAAACTTTCCATTACTGGAGATTTTATTTGTTTTTTTTTTTTTTTTTTAATCCTGTTTTGGGTGTGTCCGTGAAGGATCTGGCCATGAGCCGCAGCAACGGAACTTCAGGAGTGTGCTCTTGTGAGCGGGGCTTTCTCTGCTTAGGACTCAGAGGGAGGGGTGGGTGTGGGAGAGAAGGAATCTCGTGGGTCTCACCTGGACCCAGCACCCTCACCTGGGTCTGGGGAAATACATGGTGAGTGACAACCAACCAGAATTAAAGGAGCTGAGGTAGGAGGCTGTGGGTCTACCAAGGGGAGACACGTCGGGCAGACAGACCGACAGGCATCTATGCCAGACAGGTGGAGGTTCTGACTTCTGAAACGAATGCTGAACCAGATACGTCTGCACCCTGAAGAAATCCGTCGTGTTCTTTGACCTAATGTTTCCATGTAAGTGAAATTTTAAAAAGTGTCTGAGATGTGACTGCAAAACTAAATACTGGGATTGTCAGCCTGTCTTCCTTCACGGAAATGAAAGATCAGAAACCTGCCTGTCTTCCACTCAAGAGAAGATCACATAGCGTTTGTCTTTTAAGACAGCATGCTGTCGTCAGAACCCACGGCATTTACAGAACACTTCACAGCACAGAATATCTACCAAATAATCCTAACTGGGATAGCACATTGTCAACAAATATGTACAATTTATAATTGGGGAAAATGGAGCCCATACATTTTTTTCTCCAAGGCAGGCAGTGGTGGCACACACCTTTAATTCCAGCACTCAGGGAGGCAGAGGCAGGTGGGTCTCTGTGAGTTCAAGGCCAGCCTGGCCTATAAATTGAGTTTCAGGACAGCCAAGACTACACAGAGGAACCCTGTCTCAAGAAGAAAAAAAAAAAAAATCCCTCCAAAATAAATCTGCTCGGGATGTACCAGAATCCCAAAAATACCAATAGCCCTACATGACAGCCCTCCCCCCCCCACACATGACAGGGGCTCGTACACAACAGGTGTCCCCCTTCCTGGGGCCTTAGAAGACAGCATAAAGGATTCAAGTTGAACCCAAGCTGTTCCTGGGTTCCAGGCTGGGATGGGTAAGAGAGACAGACTCTGGAATGTCACCTTCCTTTCCCAGGGTCCCACGAAGTATCCCTGCCTTCCAGAGCCAGGGAGCTGCCTAGGAATTAGGTGGCGGGTGCCAATGGGGCAGTGCACCTCGCATCTCTGGCTACCAGGTTGCTCATCTCGAGTGAGAGAGCTTGGGGCAAGGCCTTGATCATCCCCATGCTGATGGAGTCCTGTGCTCTGAAGTTTCCATTTGGGTCCCCATGGGATACCAAGCCACAGCTACTGTCTTCCACCAAGTGCAGAGCCAACTGCATGGGTGTGAAACTCAGGGTGGGGTTCCCTGGGTGAAATTTTAGAGGGTCATTTGCTAAGGAGGCCAGGAAGAAGGGGAGTTTCACTGACACATACATTGGCTCTAGCCAGAGACTTTAGCCAAACCAGAGTCATGCTCTAGCCATCCCGGATAGCCAGCCCAGGCAAGAAGCAAGGCCACTAGGGCCCTCCCCAAGGATGTTGGGCTCTCTTCCATCACAAGATCCTAAGATGAGAGGCTAGGCCTGGCCTCATTCTCCAGACGTCTGGAGCCAACTCCTCCAGACAGAGGCCCAACCCTGGCCCTTTACTGTCCCCATTTCTTGCCACCATTCCTTGCCATTCAAGCTGATTCCTGCCTCTTTTCTAAGACACTGTGGAGCTTCAAGACCTTAGAGAGTCAGGAAGACAAATATCTCACTCAGCCATCACCCTGTACATCATCCATCAAGCCAAACTCAGGAAGCACAAAAAAACAAAAAGGACTTTGTTTGCAGTCTTAGGCACTGAGATCCCAGAGGAATTGAGTTCAAAGAGTCCGTCCGGCTGACTATTCTGAAGAAGGCAGGGAGACGGGGGCTTGAACTGGCACACAGAGCTTACTTGCTACTGAGCAGTAAAACCCCCTTCACGGGAAGATTGCATTGAATATTGAAGAAGGACGGGGGCTGTGCTGGGCCTGATGATGCAGGCCTGTAATCAAAGCTACTCAGGAACCTGAGGAAGGAACACGACAAGTCAGGGGACTGTGTGGGCTACAGAGCAGCAAGTACGACGTCAGCCTAGGAAACTTAGCAAGGCCTTGTTTCAAAACTGAGAAAGTTAAAGGGGTTAGGAATGTAGCTCAGTGGTAGAATCCTTGCCTAGCATGTGAGAGGCCCTCCCAGCGCAGGGGTTGGGTAGGTAGTGGGAGCTAACAGGGGCAGTGAAAAAAGGAAGTTGATGGAAGAATTATATACTTAGGAAGACTGTTCGTGAAACAAGAGTCCGGTGCCATCTCCTTACGCATCTTCCGTCTCTGGGCACAGTAACCCGGCCTGGTTGTACCAGATGCTCCAGATGCCTGTAGTCAGAGGGTGGAGGTGGCCCAGGCTCACGTTCCTAGGCAGAGCCAGTGACGTGAGTCAAGTTGCCTTAAAGAAAAAAGTCTCCATGTGTGGCTTTCATTATGACTCCTCCTTCACTCCCCACAATACAGATGAGAAAACTGAGGCCCAGAGACAGGTAAGACTTGCCCAATACCCAGAGGCCACGTCAGCAACACAGGCAGGACTAGATCCAAATCCCTAACACAAAGAACCTCCGGTAGCTGCTTTCAACTCTTGCTCAATCCCTGCCAGACAGACATCAGGCAGGGGTGGTAGGGTGGGGCGTAGATCAGGGAAACACAAGCCACTCTAGCCCTCCTCTCCTGACTCACCTGCTCTGGCATGCCTGCGGCTGTAGGTGTTAATTTGGGGGCCTCTGGGCCCTGAGCTTAGTGGATGCCACAAGAGAAACATGAGAATCCAGAGCTCCCTCCTCCTGGTAGTCCTCCTGGCTTTGGAGACCCAGTTGCCTATGGCCTTGTGTAGGAAGAAGGGAGGTGAGTGTCATGAATCCTTTTGCTCCAGGGGCCAAGTGGTTTCTTCCTCTCTGTGGAGGGTGAGGGCTTTGGGACAGCCAGTGGTGAGTGAGGGGTGTGGGGTGTGTGTATGTGTGTGTGTGTGTGTGTGTGTGTGTGTGTGTGCCTGCCTGCCTGCCTGCCTGTCTCAGTGCTCCTAGGAGCCTGCATTTCTATCTGTACATCAGACTTTTTCATGCTTGCGTCTTCACCTGTCAATGAACTCTGCCATTTTCTCCGGTGCTCGCCTGTGCCTACATCCACATCCGAATGTTTTAAGGACACACACGCCTATTTCTGTGTACAGGTGTGCTCATGTTCTGTCTGTGCAGCCCTCTGTCTGTATACATACACTTACTGTATCCGAGCTTCTGGACATGTCTGCACCCATCCATGTGTCTCCGTGTTTCTCCGTATGGAGAAAACATTACATGATTGCTCCAACACGGCTTGTAGAAGGGACTTGAGAGTTAAGTGAGGAGTGTGGCTCCTGGGACCTGGCGTCTGATGGGAGGATCTTTGCCTTTGTCGCTCTTCTTCCTTTCTCAAGCTTCAGCCCCATTCCCACCCCTGACAAAGCTCAGATTAGCATGTTGACAGTGAGGGAGGCACAGGTGTGCTTTTTACAGGTGCCTCGGTCAGGTCAAGGCCCCTCCCCCATCCCCCTCTGAGGCTGATGTGCTTTGACCATTCCCATTTGCAGAGTTGGCCCTGCTTTGGAGAAAGGTATGGAAATGGGGGCAGAAACCCTTCCTCCAATACTGGGAAGCCTGCACGGGGTAGATGAAGAAAGCAGTTTCTGTATGGCACCCAATCCTTTTAGCCTGGAGTGTGCCTTCCTCAGAGGCACAAGTCTCTGCTTGGGACATGAGCTGTTTGGGGGAGGAGGGTGTTTGGAGACCTCAGGATGGCTAGACCTTACATTGCCTGTGATCCATCCTGTAGAGCTCTTCATTGCGACGCAGTGAGTCAGTTCTGTTTTGTCCCCATTTTACTGATAAGGAAAACCAAGGTATAGTGTTAAACCACCCACCCAAGGCTGAAGACTGAGGCGGCATCCAGTGTGGTGTCTAACTGCAGTTCTTGTGGGTCAGAAAGGCTCACCTCACCAACTCACTCCCCACGAAATGCGGTCCGTGCTTTCCTCTCGAGAATAAATGAGGCCCTGAGGGACAAGTGTCAGCTACGGCCTTAAGTGCAGCAACGGAGGGGTCTCAGGAGGGCAGCCCTGATGCCCACGCCCGGGGTGAGCTCTGGCTCCACCAGAACCTGGGCCTGCTCTATCTGGTCAGTTGTGACAGACACACTCTCACCATTACCAGTTCACATCACTCCGTCCTTCCCTGGCTTCTCTCCCATGAGACATCGGCCTGGCTCTCAGCAGAATTGCAGGCAGTGGCAGAAGGCAACAGGGCCGAGGGCAGGAAAGCCTTGGTTTGTCTCACGGGAAGCTCAGCCACTTGTGTTTATAAGAGGCCATTGCCCTCATTCAGATGTCAGGGCGGTGGCAGTTTTGTAGTTACATTTAGAGAGCTGTGTGCCAAGGGCTAGGCGTGCTCATGCGTCTGACTTCATCTGTGTAGCCAAACACATCTGTTTAACCAGGCCCGGGATGGTTGATACACAGGTACACAGGCTACACATCGGCTGTGGTGTGTGTGTGCGTGTGTCACAAGTAGGAAAGCTGTGTAGGGGGGGAAGGTTAGGCGAACAGGTCTGGAGTGACCCTCGGACCCCGCTGAACACCCTTATGTACACCCCAGGCCTTTGTGTCTCCACACTGTGGCACCTTCGGCTTGTCCCACTTAAAACGCCATCTTTCTCCATTCAGAGAAAGTTCTTGGAACCCCATTCAGTCTCGTTCTTGGAACCCAACCCCAGGGCCCTCGTCCAGCAGCTCTCCCTGCCTCTCTGCTGCAACCTACGCCGGACCAGCTGCCCCCCCACCCCCACCCCCGCCCACTACAGCTTCCACTTCCCCTATTAGAATTCAGACAGTTCCATCCGGCCCACTGTCCGAGGCACTAAATCGTGAGAGAGAGAGAGAGAGGGGGGGGGAGGGAGTTTTTCCCTTCCCAAATACCCCACATCCCTCCCTAAAGCGACCTCCCTCAGAATGTATTCCCTCCCAGGCTATGCTGCTCACTGTCCAGCAGGGGGCAGCAGTTCAGCTTAAACCATCAGTTCAAGCGCTAAAACTGACAGTACAAGAGCAAGGGGCCACCTATTATAGGCACAGCCAGTGCCCAAGAGGGAGGAAGTGGTTGACAAGAGCCAAATGCAGCTGCCTGAGCTCTAAGTAAGGAATTGGGAACTTCCGGGGGGCTTGGGTAGCTGGTGCTGGGTAGGTAGTGGGATAGAGACAGGGAGACCTTCTGGGAGAGGTGTCCCAGGGATTACATCACAGCTTCTGTGATGCTAGATTGAACTGAAGCTCTGGGACCAGCCCCATCCCTGTAGCTCAAAACAGCTAAGGCAGGACATAAAGATCAAAGGGAGCCAGACCCTGAGAGTCCTAAGCCAGGCAATTTCGGGGATAGGCTGCTCACTGTCCTTTGCAGGCCTTAACTTTTTCCTCCATAGAGGTAAGTGATTTCCAGCTTGTATGTGAAATGTCAACACGAGGAGGGGCTAGATCAATTCCACTGTAGAGCTGTTAGAGGGAAAGGTTCAAAAGCAGAGTTGACGCTTGAATCATAAGCTGTGCCGTTGGCAACAGCGCCAAGCACCACAGTGTAGATGTGCCAGGCTGGCAAGCAGCTGGCACACATGCGGCCCTGGGCCTCCCTTCAGATCCCTCTCTTTCCAATAGTCGTTGAGCCCCCAGCACCGTGCACTGCGCTACGCTCATGACGGACAGGGCGAGCAGGCAAGGAGCCTCAGCATCTAGCCAATGGGAAGAACAGACAGCCAACCAGTACTGAGCCGCGTCCCCCCCCCCCCCCCCCCCCCCCCGCCTCAGAGGAGCAGGGCCTTCTAAAGAGGTGACATTTCAACTGAGATCAGTCAACTGACCAAGCGGTCAGGGTGGAAGTCAGTACCAGGCAAAGGCAGAGCCTGGCACAGAGAGCTGGCTTGGAGCAGCTCAGGAGCCAGTGAGCAGGAGAGCAGGCGAGACAGAGAATGAGGCCAGGGGGGCGCAGGTGGGTGGGGGTAGGTTTACCCCACCTAATCTTGTCTGAGGTGGAGAATCTGTGTGTGTGTGTGTGTGTGTGTGTGTGTGTGTGTGTGTGTGCGCGCGCGCGCATGGAGAGCAGAGGACAAAGACCTAGGGTGTCATTTCTCAGGCCACCTACCTTGTTTTTGAGACTGAGCTTCTCATCCACCGAGTCAGCGAGGAGGCCAGGCTGGCTGGGTGGCAAGCCTGAGAGATCAACCCTGTCTTCACCTCTTTTGGGGCTGGGCTTGCACGCGCACAGCACACTCCCTTCTGTTCTTTTGCTGGGTTTTTGTTTGTTTAACGTGGGTTTTGGGGATCAAGCCCGGGTCCTAGCTGAGCGATCTCCATAGCCTGAGATTTTTTTTTAAATTTTATTTTTCCTATCCATTATGACACTTGAGTGCCAAAATAGCCCTAGATGTTTAAAAAAAAAAAAAGATAAAAAAACAAAACAACAACAAACAAACCTATGATGGCAAGCAAGAAGTAAGACACCGCGATATTCCATCCTGCAATTCCGAAGTCCGTGATTCTTGCCCAACCCTGAGCTGCCTCTGCTTACATGACCCGAGGGTTCTCCTGCAGACAAATCGGGGGCCTGCCCGCCGGACGACGGACCCTGCACCCAGGTGACTCCGGATCAGTGCATGAACGACCGCCAGTGTCCCTCCTCCTGGAAGTGCTGCTCCCGAGCCTGCTTCCGCCAGTGTGTCCCGAGGGTCTCCGGTAAGTGCCCACTTCACTGTACGGACCACCCAAGCCTCAAGCCCCAGGGCGTGCGGGCCCAAGCGAGACTCACCCAAGCCCCTGTATTGCAGTAAAGCTGGGCAGCTGCCCCGTGGATCAACTCCGCTGCCTCGGTCCTACGAAGCACTTGTGTAACCAAGACTCGGACTGCTCAGGCAGGAAGCGGTGCTGTGCCAGCGCCTGCGGCCGGGACTGCCGAGACCCCAGCAAAGGTGCCATCCCTGCTCCCCCTCCCGCCCCCGCTCTGGGATGTTCTTCCGGGTCAACCATCTCAGCAGGATACCTCCTTCAGAAGCAGGTCTTCCCAACGCGTGGCCACAGCTGGAGATGTAGGATGCAGTGTGGCAGGGACACGGGGCTCAGAACGAGCTGCGCCACAGAGGCCACATCCCTGAGCCGCCCTGAACATCAGTTTGCCCTTCTGAAGGAGGCTGGGGAGTCACGATGATGATCTTAGCCATCATCGGCGTTAGACTGATGGGATGTTAAATGGAGGAGTCAGGCCTAGAGCCCTGTTACAAAAGAGGGCATAACCCTTTCTTTCCCTCTCTTTAGGCTAATTCCAGCTTAAGATCTGTGGCTCTGCACCCCAGGTGTGGTTCCCACCAGGAAGAGCTTATGATGGCGGCCAGGGATCCCACCTCCCAGATCACCTCTCCGGAGACAGCTGGCCTGTTGTCCCTACCCCTACAACTCCTGCCTTCTCATCTGCCTGTCAAGGTCCACACCTTAAAGGCACCCCAAAAGCACCCTGTCCCACTGCCGTGATGAGCTTCCATCCTAGCTCAAAATCATTTTTACATCTTTCCGTAATTGTTTCCTCCACTTAAAATGCCAAGTCGGGCAACCCCTTCTCTGCGGAGCCCTGAACCCACCTTCAAGTAATCCTCCCCCACAAAATGTATGTCCAGTGGAATTTTTTTAAATATCAGTCCATCCACACGTGCTGTTCCGGTCTTCCCTGCCCCTTTAGAATCACACCAGAAGTGTATAAAGTTGTGTAAAGTGGCCCTGTCCATCTAGCTACATGATGTTTTCATTTAAATGGCTCTTTTGGGTGAAACAATTCCTTTACAAAGGATGGTGCAGGGGAGGGGAGGTATGGCCTCACTAAGGTAAATCGGATCCGAAGGATCACCGGCCAGACGCAGAATGAACTGTGAAGCCAACCGCAATGAAAGCAGTAGCTCCATTAAGTTAATCCATGCTTCATTTAAATAATATCATTAGACTCTGGCTAGATAAGGCCACCTGCCAAGGCAGAGCCTGCCTCTGTTTTAATAAATGGAGATTAACAAGGGTTAAAGAGATGTCACGGAGGCAGCGCTCTGACTTCAGACAGCTCCCTGGCAGAGTCAGGAGGAAAAAGAGAGCCTCTCACTCAGGGAGTCGATGCTGTTTCATGCTGTAGCCAAGTGCTTGCTTGGCTCACTGGGGATGCTCGCACCCAGGGAAAGGTGGCCCAGCATTTGGGGTGTCATGTATAGAGTAGGTCTGTCTCCACGGTTGGGCTGCATCTCACTTGTCTTTATTCCCCTGGGGGCGGGGGGAGGGAGAGGCTAGCCTACCATCAGGGCCTAATTGGGATTTCTTGAGTGGAGTCAGCAAGGCTCCATCCATCCTTAAACCCAAACAGCTGATTCCTGACTCTCCTTCGCTCTCTTGCTGTAGCCCCAGGCCAGTCCTTCGCCACCTCCTTTTGCAGTGTAGAAGATGGAAAGAGTCCGACTTTTTGGCTGCCACAGCCCTTTTTCCTAGATTCAAATGCCTGAATTGTTGACTCATAGTAACGGTTGCTAACAACAGGGATGCAAGGTGACACCCAGGAAAGAAGAAAGCTCTCTGGACTCAGGGACTCTCTGCGATCTTGGATATTTCTCGGCCTCCTTCTGGGCTTCAGTTTCCCAGCCCATCACATTAGCACAGAGAACACAGAGAATCCTAGTCTGTCCACCATGTCCCGTCTCTTCCAGATTCCCTAGGGGATAGTGTATGTCCCACACGTGTAATGGTTAGTTTATAAATTACCAGCTTGGCAGAATCTAGAGTTACCTGGAAGACAGGCCTCTAGACACCCCTATTGGAGATTATACTGATAGGCTAATTGATCTAGGGAAGACCCATCTTGATTGTGGGCGGGACCACCCTCCCCTAGGTATGGGATCCTGGTCTGGACAAAATGAAGCAAGTGGGCTGAGCATAGCCTGCACGTGTTCCTCATGTGATGTAACAAGCTGCTTCAGGCTCCTGCTGCCTTGACTTCTGGGCCATGAAGGACTGACTGTATCATAACAGTGAGCTGAAATGAACCCTTTCTGCCTCCCATTGCTTTTGTCAGTGCGTTGTCAGTCACGGCAACAGAAAGAGACACTAAGACAGCATCCCAGTTAATCTGGAGCCCAGCTGGGAGCCTATTGGGGTAGAACCAACAGCCACAAGGCAATATTCTTCCAGAGGCCTCCAGCCTCTGCCACAAGAAGAGCTCATTGGAAAGCCACTATCTAAAGCTGCGCTGTCTCAGACAAGCCTCACACTTGGTGGGGGGTGGAGGGGCTATTTGTGGTAGGAAGTGTCGAAGGCCTATCAGGTAGCTTTCGTTGTTCCCTGTTTCACATATGAAGAGAACTGAGGTACAAAGAGGTTAATTTGGACAAAGTCAAAACAGTTGTACATACTAGAGCTGTTCAACCCCGAACAGTTGGGACCCAATTCTTTATCGCCCTATTAAGCAGTTACAGTAGGTCTTTGAAAAGTTGGTCCTTCCAGCCTTAACAACAGTGTCCACAGATGGGAAAAAAAAAGAGAGAGAGAGAGAGAGAGAGAGAGACTCATGCTATCCAAAGAAGGCTGTGTGGACAGGCTCGATCAGACACATTGGAAGCCGTCGGTTCACACCGGACTGCCGTGGGTTTCGTTCTGGAGGGAGAAGAGGATGAACATTCTGAGGCTTGGTAAGGACGCTCCCACATAAACCAATTAAAATTTGGAGGCCAGCAGTCCCACCCATGGCTCTTGAGGGCTTCCAAATTCTGAGTTAGGTCCCTGGAGTGACACAGGGTGCCAGGTCAGAGGCTGCAGCTTTTCTGACTACAGAGGGAATATCCACACAGCCCCTCTGCTCCGGTTCCTGGCTCACTCACCATCCTTCGTGGAGACTAGCCTTGTCTATGCAAGTGTCTCCTCAGTTCTCAGCTGCCAAACTCCTGCTACAAAGGCCTGGGGCGGGGCTGGGAGTAGTGGGAGGATACGGGAGGCCACAAGAGGCCTAATTCACCCTGGAAGCCGAAGCCCTGAGATTTAGTAGGAGTGAGAAAGTGTGACAGTAATCACCCATTCTCCCCTCCTTCCTTTTCAGCAATAGTGTCTCTGGTTAGAAATATCGTCCACACTGCTCAGCTAGCTATTGGAATGCTTATGACACTCCACAAAGTTCCCAGGCCAACATAAAGGCAGAACCATGAAATGTTAGTTCAGCCACAACTGTATATTTGTGTACTTTAGTAACATTCTATAACAATTTAAAAAGGTAAATGAACTTAAACATTTTTTTTTCCTCTTGCTTTCCTTCCAGCTAGAGATGTCCAAGAGGCTCAAGACTGGCCAGTCAGAAGCAGGAATCAGTCCATTGGGCAGGCCTTCCTAGGAAGCCATTGTTTTTCCCACTAATGAGACAAGGTCAGCCTTTTGCTCCTCCCCGAGGAACCCTTCACACTTCCTGGAAGGTGGCTGCTACACCTGCAACCTGGAGACCTGTCGTGGGCCCCCCAGTGAGAATTCTGGTAGAGAGAGTCATTTGCTGGTTCTGACTTAGAAGTGTTCCCTCGGGGGCTGAGAAGTAACCGGGAAAGAGAGGAGGCTCGTGAGAGTGAGACAATGGGAAGGTCCACAGGGCAACTGCGGGAGCAAGCGTAGCTCTCCCTTCGCCTCTCCCCTTGCTAGCCACACAAGGCTTTGGCAGCCTGGGCAAAGGTTTAACAAACAGCCACAGACTGTAGCTTTGTCCAAAGGAAAAACACCCCAGGAGCCAGTGTGCACAGAAGGCTAATGAAGCCTCAACCGTCCCATGATCCTATGCACAGAGCACCAGCAGCACCCCCTCCGGGGATGAAGGCTCCACCAGAGAGTGGAGGAGGGAGTCAGAAGGAGCTGATCTTCAGCGCCCACCCGCCACTCAGGAGCAGCTGCAGCTGCTGTGTCCTACTGTAAAAGACAAGCTCTTCTCTAGTGAAGCCGCTTGGAATCCATTTCCGTTCCCGCAGCTAACTGAGCCTGAGACAGTAAAAGCGCGAAAAGTTATTTGTGGGGATGGCACAGCATGTGCTCACCCACTCTGAAATCCGGAAGAAAGATACTGTTCCCACTTTGCACGTAAGGAAGAGAAACAACCAAGAAGAGACGCTTGGCCCAAGGTCACACAGGAATCCAGGGGCAAAGGCCTTATCTATTGCTGGGTAACGAATTGGGTTACTAATTGCACTAATGAAGTGGGTTAATCAATGCACAGTTATTAGGTCATGGTTTCCTTGGGTTAGGAAACCCAGCACAGGTCCTGTGCTTCCTGGGGCTACAGCCGCATGTTGGCCTAGAAGGGCATGTTATCTGAGCCTCAGCTGGAGAAGGCTCTGTTAGCAAGCGTTTGCTGGCAGCATTTCAGCTCCGTGAAGGCGCAGGAACCAAATACCCAGCTGCCAGTGGCCAGTCACCCTCAATTCCATAACCTTCCGGCCCGGTAACTTGCTTCAGGAAAGCCAAAAGAAAATTCTAACTTTACACAATCTAATCACAGAAGGAATGGGTCATCATCACACTTTAGAAGCAAACCAGTAAGTCACACACCCAAACACACAGGCTCAAGCATACACTCATACTAACACATATACATGCATGTATATTAACACACTCAAGAATACACTCTCACACATGCTAACACACACTCACAAACACAGACATTAACACACAACATACATACACAAATACACGCATACACTAACAGCAGACACACATACATGCTAGTACACATATGCACACACACACACACTCAAGCACACACGAATCAGTACAGAGTGTAGCTATGCCATTCACATACTCCTGATCTAAAGAAACAGTAGGATGACAAATTTGTAAGGTTGGGAGCTGCCAAAATTATGGTAATTTGTAACACATTTTACAAAAAAAAAAAACAAAAAACCATAAAAAAAAACATCAAAAAAAAAAAAAAAAAAAAAAAACTAGTATACTGCATTTTGAAGACTTTAGACCAAAAGTGAATATAGAAAATATCTCGCTAATACTTTCTCTAGTGATATCATGTTAAAATTATATCTGGAATATATTAGATTAAATAAAATACATTTTTCCCAAAAAAATCATCTGTATCTTTTTTTTTTTAAAGATGTTTGTTTAGTATATGGGTGCTTTGTCTTCCTGTTTTGTCTACACACCGGAAGAGGGCATCAGCTCCCATGGGACTATAGTTAGAGACAGTTGTGAGCTGCCATGTGGGTAATGGGAATTGAACCTAAGTTTCCTGGAAGAGCAGCCAGTGCTTCTAACTGCTGAGCCATCTCTCCAGCCCTCCCCTCCCTTTTGTAAGGCACTATCAGAACGAAAAGTCTCAGCTGGCCTGGAACTTTCTATTCAACCAAGGATGACCTTGAACCTCTGATCCTCCCCAAACACACACACACACACCTCCCTGACTGCTGTGATTATAGCTATAAACCCCAGTGCCTGGTGTGCTTGCAGTACTGGGGTTCAACCCCGGGGCTTCATGCCCAACAGGCAAGCAATGCCACTGAGCCTCATTCTCAGTTCATAACTTGTAAATGGCATAGGTGGGTCCGATCGTATCCGTTGTGCACTTGGTGCTAACTTCAGCCACGTGACCCTGAGAGAGTCCTCGTGCTTCTCAGGCCTTACACATCCAGCTCAGGAACACCACCCAACTCACGGGTTGAGATGGCAATGATTCGGGCCTGTGTTGACCCAAGGGAGGGGCTTAGTGGGTATTTGTGAGCACTGTTATGAGTGAAAGAGCACACACAGCAGCCTTCCAAGAAATGCTGGGGCAGGGTGAGGGTTCTTTAAGTTTTCAGCACTGTTGTCTCTGCCGGCAGGCAGTCCTCCTGAAAGGAAGTAATCAGGATTCTCCCACGGAGTGGGAGTTCTGAGCCTCCGGGACAGAAGGATGGGTTTCCGGCTTCACGACTCACTTGGAAAAAGAGAGTGCACTAGAGCCTACCCAGGCACAGCCTGGGGTCTACCAGGAAATGAAGCACCCTCCCCCGCCTCCTAACTCAGACCCCCACAGTACCGAGCCAGTACTTGGGCGGCACCTATAAAACCAGAAGCTGAAGACCTTATCGCTGCAAGTTTGTGTCAAACGTGACTGGGCTTAAGTCCTTTGAAACAGTGCCTGGCACATATTAATCACTAAATTAAGCAAATTGTGGTCGCTGCCATTCCTGGGCCAGAGGTTAAAACCTTTCTCCAAAGGTGTCCCCGTTTCCTAGCCGTCCCATCCTTCCAGGCTCTGACTTTGAAAGATGCCCCCATCCATCCCAGGCAAGAATAGAAACCACCGCCTCCGGCCGCCCGCGGCCTCCCTCCCTCCCCCGGCAGCAATCGATGCGGCCTCAGCCGCGGGGGACGGGAACACAGGAAAGGAGGGGGCCTCGGGGCCTCCGCAGTAGTGAGGCGCAGCGGGGCAGAAAAGAGCTTGGGGGACAGGCGCGCTGGATCCTCGGAGGCCAGGACAGGTAAGGAGCCTCCCTCAGGGAGGGGCGTGGCTGGGGGGGGGGAATGTTGCCTGCGGATCCCTGGTGCTGGAGTCCGTTCTAGGAGACCTCCAAGGAGGGACAGCATGACAGGGTTGGCCTCGCTTGCACAGTCTGTGAAATGGGATTCAGAAAACCTGGGTGGTGTTAGGATGAAACTGCGCTGTGTGTGAGGAGCCCCGGGAAGCGGCCGGCCAGCAGGGGTGCTCACAAAAAGTATCAAGAGTGCTGAACCAGTCCCCTGAGAGGCCCGCGGACAGTCTGTGCGATCCTGAGTAAACCACCCAGTGTTTCTGACTGACGGGGAGTCTTAACAAGAAATGTTTGTGGAATTAATTACCTCAATTCATAGAGCGGGGAAATGAGTGGCAGATGTGGGCAGGGAGGATGCTCCAAATGGAGCTTCTAATGGGCGACAGAAGTGAACTGCTCAGTGCTGGGCCAGGGACTGCACTACCGCAAACATCGGGGCCTGTTTAATCCTCAGAGTCTCTCCAGGGCAACTCCAGACTGCAGAGGGAATCAGCAGCTCAGAGAGGGCAACGGGTCCCCTCAGGTCAACAGCTAGCAGCGGCAGAATTTGAACTCAGAGCTGATAAAAAGAAAAGAATGAATGGGAGTTTGATGTTTACTGAGCACCCAGTGTGTGCCAGGGACTTTGCACGTATTCTCATAACAGTTCATCCACAGTGTTGTGCTATTCCTTCTGGATAGGAGGGCTAATGTACCCAGAGCCAGCAGACTGGCCTGGGTTAGCACAGGAGCCAAGCTAAGGATAGAATCGCAAGCCACCTAGCGTGAGTGAAGGACATCTGGGCTCATATGCCCTCCATCCCCATCCCCTGGAAGAAGGCATCACTGACCCCTCGGTACAGGAGGGATTGCACAGTTCTTGGGGCAGAAGTGAGCCCCCAGGGGCCAGGGGCCAGCGGGAAAATCTAGCATTTCTGGAGTATCCACCGAAGTCAGACAGCTTCCATAAACCGTCTTAGCCCTCGGCTATCCCTGGAATGCATGCTCTTGTCTGCATTGTGTATTCTGCAGGAAAGATGTGGAGAAGAAACAGTTTAGTCAAGGGACAGGACAGTTAAGGGTAAAGTTACATTCCGCCTCGCCTGACTCCGGTAGACAAGGACCTGGGTGGATAATTAGACAAAGCGAGCCTGGAAAAGATACTGGGCCACACAACCACTTTACCCCCGTTTCCAAGTGGATATTCTGATCTCTGCTGGCAAGGTTAAGAGGAAATAAGTGACTGCTAAGACAATGCAGAGACAAGGTTTAAGGTCGGGTCTGAAGGACACCGCAGGTGTTTCTCACGTAAGTCTAGTCCAGTAGTTCTCCAACTGGACCACGCGTCACAGCCACCCTCCAGGCCTCTCAAAACAAACCGGCCAGGTGGGCTGGCGCCTGTCTAGAATCTCAACACTCAGGAGACTGGGGACAAGGATCAAAAGGCTGATGTCGGCCTCAGTGGGCTGCATGGTGAGATCCTGTCTCCAAATACACACACATACTTACATACATAACATACATACATACATAAATACATACACACACAATATGAAACATACATACATACATACATAAATACATACATACACACAATATGAAAACAGAGTGCAGCCTCCCACCTCAGGGCTTCTGAGTCGTCAAAATCAGGGCAGGCTAAGACTCTGCTGCATCCTTGGCCAAGTCCTGTGATGGGGATTCTCCTAGTCCTTGGAACACCCTCTGGGAATCAGGAGTCTCAGCTGACTTTCTTAATAGTCCTAGGTAGTACGCCTTAACCAATCCCATCTACGGAGGAGGATCCTGAGGTTGAGAAGAGCCACCGCAGACATCTGGCTTCCTAAATCCAAGCTTGGCCTGGAAAAGGAGAGATGTCCTACCCTGGCCCCTAGCAGACGCCAGGCGACCCCACCATCCCATCGCTTCTATAGCCCTGCCAGGTAGGCCTCCCCATTTGCTGTGCCTGGAGGAAATAAACTGGGAGTGGGGAGGATGATTTAGTCAGTCACCCCGTCTGGGGGTCAAGGGTATTCAGACCCAGGTCTGACTTGAGTTCGGGGTGGGGGGTGCATTCGACATCTGGGCCCCTGCTCCATGCCTGGCGTTTCACAGTCTCCAGCACCCTGCGTGGTGGATGGAGCCTGGGATTTTAATCCACAGGCACACTGTAGCCATGGTGAGCGAGTCCCCGGGTCCAGGCTCCCGGGTCCCCTGGCGGCCAAGAGACGAGGCCCTGCGTGTGAACGTGGGCGGAGTGCGGAGGCTGCTGAGCGCGCGCGCCCTAGCGCGCTTCCCGGGCACGCGGCTAGGCCGCCTGCAGGCAGCGGCGTCCGAGGAGCAGGCGCGGCGCCTGTGCGACGACTACGACGCGGCGGCGCGCGAGTTCTACTTCGATCGGCACCCGGGCTTCTTCCTGGGCCTGCTGCACTTCTACCGCACCGGCCACCTGCACGTGCTGGACGAGCTGTGCGTCTTCGCCTTCGGCCAGGAGGCCGACTACTGGGGCCTGGGCGAGAACGCGCTGGCCGCCTGCTGCCGCGCGCGCTACCTGGAGCGGCGGGTGGCGCGGCCCCGCGCCTGGGACGAGGACAGCGACGCGCCGAGCAGCGTGGACCCGTGTCCCGACGAGATCTCCGACGTGCAGCGGGAGCTGGCACGCTATGGCGCGGCCCGCTGTGGCCGCCTGCGTCGTCGTCTCTGGCTCACCATGGAGAACCCCGGCTACTCGCTGCCCAGCAAGCTCTTCAGCTGCGTGTCCATCGGCGTGGTGCTCGCCTCCATCGCGGCCATGTGCATCCACAGCCTGCCGGAGTACCAAGCCCGGGAGGCGGCGGCCGCGGTGGCGGCGGTGGCCGCGGGTCGCAGCGCCGAGGACGTGCGCGACGACCCCGTGCTGCGCCGCCTGGAGTACTTCTGCATCGCCTGGTTCAGCTTCGAGGTGTCCTCCCGCCTGCTGCTGGCGCCCAGCCCGCGCAACTTCTTCTGCCACCCGCTCAACCTCATCGATATTGTGTCCGTGCTGCCCTTCTATCTCACGCTGCTGGCGGGTGCGGCGCTCGGTGACCGGCGTGGAGCCAGCGGGGAGGAACTCGGAGACCTGGGCAAAGTGGTCCAAGTGTTCCGCCTCATGCGCATCTTCCGCGTGCTCAAGCTGGCGCGCCACTCCACGGGTCTGCGCTCGCTGGGCGCCACGCTCAAGGTAGGACGCGGTTGAGGCCGGGTTGGGGCAGAGGGAGGATGCAGAGCAGGGTGCGTTAACTGAGGCATGTATAGCCTAGCCACATCCAGGTGCCCTGTGGAATGGGTGCCACCCTTGAACCAGGCATAAGTCAGGAGGCCAAGATTCAGCTCCATGCAACCCCACAGCTCTTTAGAGAAGGCCTTGGGAGTCGTGACTCGGTTAAGAGTCTTCTTAACTGATCCTCTTCCAAAGGATCCAGGTTCTGTTCCTAGCACCCAGAAGTCAGCTCACAACCACCTGAAACTTCAGTTCCAGGGGATCCGGTGCCCCCTTCTGGCTTCCGTGGGCACTGCACCCATGTGCACAAATACGCATGAGGCAAAACACCCCTTCACATAAATAAAAACAAGTCTCAAAAAGAAAAAAGAAGGGCGGGAGAGATGGCTCAGCAGTTAAGAGCACTGAATGTTCTTCCAGAGGACCGGGGTTCAAGTCCCAGCACCCACATGGCAGCTCACAACTGCCTGTAACTCCAAGATCTGATACTCACAGACATACACACAGGCAAAACACCAATGCACATAAAATAAAAATAAATTAAATTTAAAAAAAAAGAACCTACTAAAAAAAAAAAAAGAAAGAAAAAAGAAGGGCTTAGAGCAGTTCCCAGCCTTCCTAACGCTGCGACCCCTCAATACAGCTCCTCGTGTTGTGGTGACTCCAAACCATAAAATTATTTTTCTTGCTACTTATATTACATAACTGTAATCTTGCTACTGTCCTGAGTCGTAAATATTTTGGGAGAAAGGCTTGTCAAAGGGATCGCGACCCAAAGGGTTGAGAATCATTGACTTAGCACTAACTGTATTTCCCCAGGAGAATAAAGAAAAATGTGTGTGTGTGTGTGTGTGCGCGCGCACACACACACGAATACAGAAAACAAAACGGAGTGAACCATAGCGCTGGAGAGATAGCTCAGTGGTTAAGAGCAGTGGTACAGCTTTTGCAGAGGACCCGAATTTGGTTTTCAGCACCCACATCAGGCTGCTAATGATCACTTTTGGCTGCAGCTCCAGTGGACCCCAGCACCTCTGCGGGCACCCAGACACACGTGCCTGCATATACAGGCACACAAAGTTACACATGCATGTAATTTTAAATAACTCTTTTAACAATTAAAGTGAACCACTATTGTCTACTTTCCTCCACCCCCCCCCCAAAAAAAAAAAAAAAAAAACAAAAACAGAAACAAGGAAGAGAGGGAAGGGCTTTTTGATGTGTCTATCAAATATCACATAGACCACAGTGCCAAGCAATCGGCAGAGCAGGAATGTGCCTTTCTTCTGGCGTCATCGGAAGGCAGAGGTAGTCACAGGTCACTCTTCGCCTCGGAGCAGCTAACAGCTTACTGGACACAGAATGAGTGTTCCCTGCCAGTTTCACATCCATTATTGATTAGTCCTTAGGACAGCCTCCTCCGGAAGATGCTATAATTTATTTTCTTCCCGTAAATGAAGATCCTGGGGTGGCTAGGCTGAGTCTTATAAGCCTGGTTGCAGTTTATTGACCACGGGCCCCGCCCAGGGGGTTGAAATCAGCATGGTTCAGAGAAGGAGGCAATGTGAGCAACTTGTACCAGGGTCTGCTAAGGAAGCAGAGTGAATGTCGGCAGAGCAGAGACAGAAGGAAGAGACAGCCGTGGGTTTGAGGTGCTGAAGGACATGAACTCTGGACCCCCCCTTTTTTTTTTCCTTTTCTTTGTTCCAAGGGCTTGGGGGAGCTTGTGAAGGGCTTGTATTGTCACTGCTTCATAGATAGGGAGACTGAGGTTCTAGGAGGCAGCAGTACAGGGACATATGTTATCCAGATCCCTTTAATTCAGAACCACCCTAGGGAAGAACCTCACACTCCCCAAGCCTTGCTTCTTGGCAAAGAATCAGAGCTTGGGGCAAGGAGGGAGAAGAAGAATAGCCAGGGCTATCAGAGTCAAGACATGGGTATGACATAGTCTGGGGTGGGGTGGGGGACCTGCCATCAAAAGCCTCCCCAACACTCAGAAGCACGCCAGGAAGGCAGACTCTCTGGCTGTAACCCCAGACTTACTTGACTGGGTTCAAGCTTTTAAACTGAGCCCTACATAATTACCGTCTGAGAGATGCTGCTGCACAAGGGGCCCTCAGCATTGACATCATTTGAGGACAGGTAATTCTTCATCGGGGAGGGGAGTGTTCTGTAAGATGGTAAGCCTTATCCCTGGCCAGCATGCATGCCAGCCTGTTCCCACTGTGACAACCAAATATGTCTCCATCCCTGGTAGGCGGGGGGGGGGGGGGGGGGGGCAGAATTGCCATGTTTAAGAGCCAGGTGCCCAAATACAAGTGTAGCCTTTAGCTTTAGATGGTTTAAGGAACTCATGTCCGCTCAGTTTGCTTGAGGGGCAGACAATATTTTTGCACTTGTCAGAAATATTACAGAGCAGTTCAAATCATGAAAACAATTCCTTGTGTTATGACATATAACTGTGATCCTCTTGGTTCTGTGAGAGCATAAAAACCATCATGACCCAAATTACTGAGGCCAAGCCTGCACCATGTACACAGAAATCAGGCCTGTGATCAATTGCAGGAAGGCTTGTTGCTTACTGTATTTGGAAGAAAGTTGGGATCTTGGCACAATTTCTCGCATTCGATGTTGGACTTCCCTTTCTATTCTGTGAGCCTCCGTTTCTCCTGACACTAGGTTTGTAAGTCCAGGGAGCTCTGACTCGGGCTCATGCATTTTCTTTCAGCACAGCTACCGTGAGGTGGGCATCTTACTGCTGTACCTGGCCGTGGGCGTGTCAGTGTTCTCGGGTGTGGCCTACACAGCTGAAGAAGAAAACGTGGGCTTCGACACAATCCCTGCCTGCTGGTGGTGGGGCACCGTGAGCATGACCACAGTGGGCTATGGGGATGTGGTGCCAGAGACTGTGGCTGGCAAGCTGGCGGCCTCGGGCTGCATCCTCGGGGGCATCTTGGTGGTCGCGCTCCCCATCACCATCATCTTCAACAAGTTTTCCCACTTCTACCGGCGCCAGAAGGCCCTGGAGGCGGCGGTGCGGAGCAGCGGCCAGCGGGAGTTTGAGGACTTGCTGAGCAGTGTTGACGGGGTGTCCGACGTGTCTCTGGAAACGTCCCGAGAGACTTCTCAGGAGGGGCGCTCTACAGACCTGGAGACCCAGGCCCCCGGTGAGCCTGCTCAATCTCAGAGTTATTAAAACTTTGCATCCCCTCCCCCACGGCCTTGGATTGCGCTCACATAGAGCAGAGCCCTCCACTGCTTCCGTTCCGCATGGGAGTCATCCACCTGAGCAATGTAGGGGCCAACGATCTTTCTCGAAAACCCCAGGGCAGGATAGTACCGCCCTAACGTTCCCGGAGCCCCCGCAACAACCTCCCCGGAAGTAGGTGTGCACCAAGAGGAGGAAGAGGGCGGCCTCTGCACAAGCCTTTAGCCCTGTGCTGGCAGATAATTATCCCCATTTCACAGATGAGGGAAGTGAAGCTCACCTGAATGTCACAGAACCTCTGTGAAGAAGTCAGCTTTTAGCAAAGTCTGGGAAAGGAGCTGGGGGCGGAATCCTTGGACAATCTGTAGCATCAATAGCACAATTACCTTCCACACCCACTTCCCAGGACTGATTTATAGAGAAAACCTGAACAGACCCTTCTGGGACCACGACCCAGCTCTATACCTGCTATGGGAGAGGCGGCCAACCCCTATTCCCAGAACTCAATTCTAGCCAATCACTCACAACTTGTGACCCAGGGAAATTCCTGAGGAGGCTCTGCCTTACAGCCAGCTCAGCTCTGAACTGTTGACGGCAGAGGGCTGCTTTGCATGTTCCTGTCCTGTTTGGTTTTTTCCCCAACTTGACACAAGCTAAACTTACCTGGGAAGAGGAATCTCAGTTGAGAAAACACCTCCATCAGGTTGCCTGTAGGCAAGCTTGTGGGATAGTATCTTGGTTAATGATTAATATGGGCAGGCCCAGCCCACTATGGGTGGTACCAGCCCTAGGCAGGTGGTCCTGGGGTTTGTAAGAAAGCAAACTGAACAAGTCATTGGAGCAAGCCAGTAAGCAGTGTTCCTCCATGATCTCTGCTTCAGCTCCTGCCTTGCACTCCTACCTTGGCATTCCTCAGTAGACTATGACCTGGGATACATAAGCCAAATAAACCCTTTCCTCTCCAGTTGCTTGTGGTCATGATTTTTATTATGGCAATACAAACCTGCCTACCATAGCTCCCATCCCACCCTTAAAGGGCCCTGTCATACTTGATGGAGGCAAGTCTTTTATACCCTCCTGCCAAACCTGCTCTTTGGCTGAACAAGTTGGGAAGGGGTCCTGCCTTCCACCCCCTCTTACATGCTGTGGCTAAGCACCCATTTCTATATCATTGGGGTCTCCTGGGGCCCTATCTGTTTCATCACCCTGGCTCATCCCTGGGGCAGGGCAGATATTTGGTGAATATTGTCCAGACTGAGCAATTGCTACAGCCTACTGGGAAGCAGGCCCTCGGAGGAAAGAGGAAATGGACAGAGACCTTGCTCTTGAAAGGGTGTGAACAACACTGAGAAGGAAACCCACTGGGCAGTCTATCCCCAGCCCTTCTTGGTTTGGGGACCTTTAACAATGACTTCATCATGGTTCTTCACGCTCCCATGTAACAGATCATTATTGGGAGAGTCCCAAGCTGAGGCTTCCCTTGGGTCCTCAGACATGTTTTCTTTAAATGAATGGTAACTTTAGTGCATTTTAGACATTTTTCCAATACCTTTGGAGGAAGAATGCACTCTCCAATTTCCCATAGCTTCTCCTCTCTCTCCTCCTCTCCTGTTCCACACTGACCCAACCCTGTCGGATTTGCCTTGACTGCTGGGTACCTGTTTACCAGGTTCAGGAGATTGTCATGGTAGAGAACACAGAAGGCCCTATACTAACAAGGGAACTAGTCAGGGAGACAGACCCAGATGTGATAGTGACAGTCATGATAGTTAACTAAGTAGGTAGGAAGCCATGAGCTACCAAAATCCGTGGCCTGAAACCATCGGAGAATGCTTTCCTGAGTGACAGTCTAACCAGCTATAATAAGGATAAATAACAATTAGAAAAAAAAGGGGGAAGGGGGTTCCAGGGAGGAATATTCCAAACAGAGTACACAACAGACGCTCAACACATGCATTCCCAGCCTCCAGGCTGCAGCCGAGACAGGCGCTAAGCCAAAGAGCCTCTCGGGAGCTCACCATGCTCATCTCTCCTGCGTATTCACCTCCTAACATCTGTGTCCAGCTGTGCCCAGATGAGGGACAGACTGGAGAGCCTCCCACACCCTTCTCTGTCCTGGCTGAGCACACATCCAGACTCACTGATCCTCCAGACAAGACTGTGAACGTGGTATGGGGACAGATCAGGGAGAGCCGTCTGGCTGGAGTCTGCTGTAGGTTCTGTGCCGACCAAGCATAAATGTATTGGCTCCCTCCCACACCAGCGGGTTGGTGGACAGTTACACAGAGATCCCAAACACCTGCCTCTGCTAGCCTACAGCTGACTGCCTGATTTGTTCTGAGTGCTGGGGGAAGGAAGGTGGGCAATCAATAAAATGGAATGATTCATGATCCACATCCTCAGAGGCTTTGTCTGTGGCAGTGCCCGCCAGAACCATTTTCACGTGACAAGAATCCTGTTGGAATTAACATCGCTAGAAAGTATAACTCGCCAGGCTTTGAGGCACAGGCCTAGAACCCCAGTGACTAGGGAGGCTGAGAAAGATCTCAGGGTCTGGGCTCCAAAGTGAGTTCAAGGTCAGCCTAGGCAATTTAAGTGCGATCCTGTTTCAGAATTAAAAGGGCTGAGATTGTAGGTTAGTGAGAGGGCACTTGTTTAGCATACATGAGACCCAGGGTTCAGTTTCCAGCAACACAGAAAAAAGTCAAATAATCAAACAATGAAAACTGTGAGTGACAACAAGTATGAGCCTTCATACTGGCTTAAGCAAAAGCAAATGAACAGGAAGGTATGTACATTTTCAGTGGTTCTGTAACAAATTATTACAAAGTTGGTGGCTTAAAAAAGAACACGTTCTTACTTAGCTCCCAAAGCCAAAAAGTCCAAAATGAAGGTGTTAGCAGACTCTGTTTCTGGGACCTTCGGGAGGAGAGCACAAACCTCGCTCACAGCTCTTGGCCTTTGGCATTCCTCCCGTGCTGCCCCTGCCATAGCATCACATTTTCCACTGTGTATTACATTTCCCCAGACCTTTCTCCTGTAAAGATACTTGAGGTGGCATTTATGGCCCATGGGGGTGGTCCAAGATGATATCATCTCAAGATCCTTTGAACCACAATTCCAAGGAAGACCCACATACTGAGTAAGGTGACACTTACAGGTTCCAAAGATTTGTGTGAGGATGCTGGAGGCGACCATCCAAGAATACATCAAATTCACCCAGTCGAAGGAAAACCTGACAAGGCCTGAGGCAACAGACCAATGGGGAGAGTTCTGGGAAGCCCAGCAACAGCCCAGAATCCTTTGTCTGGAGATATTGCCTTCCAAACATTCACCTCTAACAACCTTCTGTGCCCTTGTGTGTATGTGTGTGTGTGTGTGTTGGGAATGGGGTGTATTGAGAAACCCAAGGTTGGAATGTAGTAGACACCTGTTACTTTTGTCCCTTCTTTAAGTGACAACACATGGCCATGTCTTGGAATTATTCATTTTGTTCCATCTGTTGCACTTATAAAGCCGGCACTCTGCCCTCCAGCCCCACCAAGAAAAAAGCAGATGACTCAGCCAAACCCCCATCCTTCCTGGATCTGTAGGAAGATGATGCAGGAGAGTGGGTCTGCAGATGCTTCAATGGTTAAGAGCACTTGCTTCTATTCCAGAGGACCCAAATTCGGTTCCCAGTGCCCAAGGTAGGTAGCTCACAAGTGCCTGTAACTCCAGCTCTGGGGAATCCAACACACACACACCCAGGCACAGTCACATACCCTTGCTGGCACACATGCTCACACAGATATTCTTCCCATACACTCTTTCATATATGTTTCTACATAAGGAAACTGTCACACGTAACCCAAACACTGATCTCTCTCTAAAGGGAAGACACCCCAAAGCCATGTCCTGTTGGATGGATCCAGCTTGTAGGTTCATTCACCCTTCTACTAGTGCCACTTTTTCTACTTCAATCTGTAAACAGTAAGAGCTGTTACCGGGTGCTCTGTGTATGAGACTGGAGGAGGGATGGAGATGAAAAGACAATGCGAGGAAGACATCACAGCTTTGTCCCATTGCTGCAATGTGCAGTGGCTGCTGCTGGCACTGGGAATATGTTCTATTTGCCGTGTCATGGTCACCCTGCCTTTGGCTGGCACTTCAGATGGTTGAGATTCACTATTTGAGAGTGGCCTAACCCTTTATTCCTAGAGAATCTGAACCCTTAAAGTGCTAGGAACAAGAAGATGCCTCAGGGAAGTCCCGATGTTGCACAAAGTCCCTTATGCCTTTTCTCTGGGTAGCTGTAATGGAATTTCCCCTTGATGGCATAGCTGGTTACCCAGGACAGCACTGTAACTAACTCCCTTTACTCTTGTGTTCCTGGGGATATGTTCAGAAATGCCCAAGTGACAGACTCAGTCTCCAATTCAGGGAATTCATTGCTGTACCCATTAGGGAAGCATTCTGATGATGGGCACCGAAGCCTTGAAGCTTGCAAAATTCAAGCCTTGAAGACAGGCGGCAGTGGATCTGCAAGTGGGTTGTGGTGCTCCATTGGAAGACAGACATACAATGCCCCAACCACAACCAGTGTACATCAAGGGTCCACTTGAGCCCTGCCCGGTGAGCTCATGGCCACACTTGGTGTTCGAGTCCTTGCCAGGCACCCTTGACTTTCTGTCTGGGTGGAGGACACAGTGCCCAGTGTACAGTGGGGCACCTTTGGGCGCAAGGTTACTTGATATCCGTATTTAGCCTGATGTCCATCCTCAAAGCCCAACAGCAGAAACTGACCAGAGCCTTTGCATGAGGAGAGTATGTACCTTTCACAAAGTGGGAGGTAAATGCAGTGTGCATCCGTGAAATTCTATCATTGCCCTCTCTTTCTCGCCTCTCCCCTTCCCTCCCTTCCTCCCCTCTTTCTGGTGCTTGCGGAGGTAACACATGTGTGTGCATATGGAGACCAGAGGTTGATGTCATGTGTCTCCCTTGATTTCTTTCCACCTTGTATTCTGAGACAGGCCAGTACTCCTGACCTCGACATTCTTCCAAGCAAGGGTAAACATGCTCTGGGGTTCAGTGGAGGCCATACTTGGAGGGATTCATGGGAAGAAAGTTAAGTCCAGTCCAGCGTACTGTCTTCAGAAATCTGTTATTCCCTTCCTCTACAGGATGCCAAAGGATTTGGATTCTGTAAGGCCCAATTCATGTGGGCTAGCATTTGGTCCAAGTTTCATTTGCCATCTCATCTAGTTGCTAGAGTGCAGCCAGCTCCTGGAGCAAGAACAGAGGAGGCCAAATCCCCGCTTTGAAATTCCACCCCAAAATCAGACCCGCCCCAAATTACATTTTCCCTCAGAATCAAACATCACACACACACCCTGCTGAGAGAGATGGAATATTCTCTAAGGATGCTCAGTTTACAGTCTTCCTTCTTCAGCCCCATATCACAAGTCAGAGAGCCAGAGAAGTCTTTATGGCCATAGTAGAGAGCAATCCCACACCTGAGTCCCTTTTCAGTTCAAATATAAGCCAAGCCAGTTGTTACGGTTCAAATATGAAATGTTCCTGGTGGGCTCTGAATGCCTAAGCCCCAGCTTTGGTGCTGTTTGGGGGAGATAATGGAAACTTTAAAAAGCAAGGCCTAGCTGAAATAAGTCACTAGGGGCCTTTAAAGGGCAGCCCCAGTGCACAAGACCTGCCCAAGATCAAGCTAGTCAACATTCCAGTAGGCCCCACCCCTATCGGTTTAGATGGCAGCTAAGG